CTATGGTAGTGTTGAGTCAAAGATTCTTTTTTCACTCTTGTCCATGATCAAGATTAAATAAGAAATTGGTAAAGATAATATTTTAAAGAACCCATTAATTAAGAACAGCCCACTCCGTCCAATAACATTGAATTATGAGTTAGAGTTATTCACTTTTTATGGAATGTATGTTCGATTTCCATGGAATCTCTTTTCTTATTCTCTCAATTAATATGTAAATAATTGTAATCTATTAAAAAAATTCATTAATTAATGGTTATGAAAATAAAGTATACGTAGTTAATTTTAAAGTGGAATTAACACTTACACTATGTTTAATTGAGGATAATATAGAGGCGGAAAAAAATTATTTGGTTATTAAAAAAATTAGAGAGGAGGGGAGATAAAAATTTTCCTTTTACTTTATTATTATTATTTTTTTAATTTCAATACTTATCCAAATAAAGTGAATGGAGGGAAATGGAGGAGAATGAAATGATATAATTTTTCTCCCCTTTATTCTTCTCAATTCAAATATAAAGTTAGGGTTTATTTAGTTGATGAAACTTTTTTCTTAAAAATTTTTCTTTTTATAAAGTTATTTATATATTTTTATACATTAATATCATATTAAAAGAAAGGTAAAAATAATATTTTTTACATTTATTTTTTCTAACACAATTTTCAATTAGTAAACTTTTTCTTTTTACAATTTTTGAAGAAAAAATTTTTCTTGCAACTTTTTTACATAGAATCCACTTTTCAATTTTTTTATTAACTCTTTCTATTTCAATTTTTATCAAATATAAAAAAAAAAGTTACAATCCAATAAAATTTGCAAACCGACATTATTAGACAGTGTGTTGTAAGAGTTAAAATATTCCTTGTAATACTTCCATTCATATCAATTCCCATTAATTTCTATGGAGCCGATGCTGTTTGCCCCCGATGATGCTGAACATAGCCATTGATATACGATATTAGTAAACAGAAAAAGAAAACATACGAATTTAGTTTATATTATATTAGGAGAAGAAAAACTGCAAGCGGCTGCGAATTTTTTTTTTTTTTTTGACAAGAACAATGATTAAAAGTTAAAAATTAAAAATTAATATTTTACTCTTTTTTTTTTTTAGTAAAATTCAATCACTAATCGAGATGTAATCCTTTGATAATTTCAGTAGCCGTCACTGGATCACAACGGAAGAATGCGCGGCTGGGAACAGTTGAAAATTGAAAGCTAAAGATTGAATTTGCTACGTTTCAAAAAGGTGGAACCATAGGGCATTCTTTTGGTTAAAACCCCGATTCAGTCCCTCAACTTTCATTTTTGAATTAAAACTACCCTCAAACTTCAAAAAGTACTAAAAAAATCCTTGAACTTCAATTTGTGGTACCAATTTCGTCTTTCCGTCGACGGAAGTGCCAGATGGCACGTTAAGTTGTCACGAAATCAATTATTATTTGAAATATTTAATTACATGAAAAATAACTTATTATCCATGTCATTTTAATTAATTTATATATTAAAAACTTTAAAATTTCTTAAATACCCTGATCAACACCGATTATCCCTCGGTCATCTCTTTCTACTCCAATCACCATCTCCTTCTTCCCCAAACCTCCTCTCTAATGAAACTCAAATCTGCTTCCTCGCACAATAATAATGGCTAATAGATTTGATTCAAAAATTCAATTACATTGTAAACTTATACCAAATTTATAAAAATTCAACAAATTAATCAAGAAAAATGCAAAAAACGCAAAAAACGTAACAGCCCTTCATTCAACACCAACCGTAACTGAACCTTGAAATTCAAGCAAGCAGGACCCATATCAAAACTCTAAATCCATACTAAGATAGTCAAGCATCACTGCAGCCAACAAAGAAACAGAAGAACAAAGAAACAGAAGAAAAACCCAAGCGTGTTCGACTCGAACC